CCCCCCCCCCCCAGGCCCACGGCCACCTCTCCCCTGCAGGACCTTCCCTCCATCTGGACCCTGGCAGCTCACCGCCCAAGAAAAGCTACATAAGGAGCATCGTGCTGTTCCTTGCTCTCCGGGGCTAATGGGGGACGAGGTCTTTCGGGACTATAAGCAGAATGACGTCACTTCCGGCTTCCCTTGCTGATATAAGATAACGTCTTCGGGGATGGTAAGTAGACTCGTGTTACTTCTTGCCTCCTAGCCTCCCTCCCCAGGTCTGGCTCCTGCCTCTCTCCCTCACCTCACATCTCACGCTGCTCTACTCCCCTCTACATTCCTTTTATTCCTATCACATCAGCCATCCTTCCGGCCTCCTGGCCTCACGTTTGCCATAACTCCCCCTGGCGTGCTGTCACTCGGGTCAATTCATCCTGCAAGTTTTGGCTGAAACGCTGCCTCCCTACAGAGAGAGGCCTCTCCTCACTATCATGGAGCTCTTTATTTCTTTAGGCTTCATTATCTTGTTTATATAAGCATTCTCTTACGGTTCAGCTTGAATTGCCCCATCCAGTAGAACTTTCTGTGGTGATGAACACGGTCTATGTTCACACTGCCCAATACTCGCAGCCACCAGGCTCAAGGGGGCTACTGATCACCTGAAATGTGGCCAGCGGCAGCCACAAGAATACATTTTTAATTCTACGCCATGTAATTTCAACGTAGATGGCCACAGGTGGCTGGCGGCTACTGGCGCGGGTAAAGACTGCATGCCGAGGGCAGAAAACCCGGGGTGACTTATCCACCATCACACCTCTCGGCTCCTAGTGCGGTGGCTTCCGCCAACAGGGAACACGAATATGATCCAGAGCCGTAAATGAGCGAGTTCACGAGCAAATGCGGTTCCATCACAGTCTGAGGTTCAAGCCCTCTTTGCGCTATTGGAAAAGACCGAACTGCTCGGTCTAGACAACTCCTTCCAAAAATCAAACTGGGCCTGGGCCCCGTGTCTCAAAGCAGAAAGCCGGACAAACCTCCAATTTTGACGGTGAAGTCGTGGGCCACCATGCAATTTCGAGCTGCGAGATCCCGGTGCACAAACTTCTTGGCATTCAGGTACGCCATCCCGTCGGCGATCTCCGCCGCCATCTGAATCATCTCTTGCAGAGTAGGGGGAGGGCGGCCAGGGTTATTCTGAGAATCGAAACGGGGGGTCGTGTGTTCAGCAACGTGGGCTCCTGCGGCCGGGAGCGGGTGCCCTGCTGGGTCCCCAGAGGCAGCTCACCTCAGCCTCCGGCCGCAGGGAGCGGAGGTAGCTCTTCAGGTCTCCGTGAACCATCAGCTCCATCACCACCAGCGTCGGCTGGCCTTTGGACACCACCCCCAGGAGGCGGACCTGTGGAGCAAGTGCAGCACGTGGTAGGGTGAGGGTCTGGGGGAAGGTGTCCACTCATCAAGGTGACACACAGCACCCTCTGTGGTGAGCCCTGGTCTGTCTGGCTCAAATGCCAGGGTCAATGCCTTGCTGGGACAGGGGAGTCGGAGGAAGGAGGGAGAATTCGGGACTCAGGGTCTGGCGGGTGGGGGAGCAGACAGACATGCCTACAGACAGCAACAGCCGAGACAGACACTTGGATATCTCCTTGGTGTCTCTGAGCACATAAGGCACGTTCCCACCTCGAAGCCTTTGCACCTGCTGTTCCCTCTGCCTGGCTCTCTGTGCCCTAACAGGTCCACATGGCTCAGTCCCTCCATCCTTAAGTCTTGGCGCAAATACACCTTTTCCCAGTCCTGAATTCCCAGCCCCCTGACTCTGCTCTCTTGTTCCATTCTGCTCTCTTGTTCCATTCTGCCCCCAATGTCTTCCCTAAGGAACTTATCGGTTTTAGGGTCTGCCTCCGCGGCTGTACAGGAAGCTCCATCGGGGCGGGAATCCGATGCATCAAAGAGACGAGAAACGAGGCTTAGCACACAGCCGGTCCCCTTAGCACTAGGCTCCAGGAGAAGGTAAGTGGGAAAGGGTGGGCAGGGATGGGGCGAACACTCATGTGTTTAAGGGGTATAAAGGAGCCAGGAAGAGGGAAGAGACAACATTCTGGAAAGCAACGGGACGAGTCTGGCTCCAGGCAAGGCGGGAGAGGATACTGCAGAGTGGGGGACAGGCAGGGTCCACACCTAGGGTCCTCCCACCCCGTGCAGGAGGAGGAGGAGGAGGGACAGGGGAGCTGGCACCAGAGGAAGCCTCTGTCTGCTCTGGGGGCAAACGCAGGACTCACCACGTGATGACAGGTGAAGCCCTTCATGACTGAGGCCTCGTTGAGAAACTCGATCCTCTCTCGCAGACTGGCAGACTCGTTGACCGTCTTCACCGCCACGCGGGTCTCCGCCTCGCCCTTGACGATGTCCCTGGCATTGCCCTCGTACACCATGCCGAAGGAGCCCTGCCCCAGCTCGCGCAGGAGGGTGATCTTCTCCCGAGGCACCTCCCACTCGTCCGGCACATACACAGAGCAGGGAAACACTACTCCTCACTTATCTACACAGCATCCTTGACAGACCCCTGGGGGCCCCCCAGCCAACCTCCCACCTGAGCACCCCTGGCAAACATTCGTTAAGTGATTTCTGGGATCCAGAACCTGTGCCAGGCACCGAGCGTAGAGCCGAGGACAGGACAGGTGTGGGTCCCTGCCCTCACAGGGGGGGACAGCAGAGGCTTGGGAAGGAGCCACTGTCAGCCCAGGGTCCTGGCCGGTAAGTGCCGCACCGAGCCTGCCTCCACATCCTTTCTGTCTGATCTCAGAGCCCCGCCACCAGATCATCCTTTCTGTCTGATCTCAGAGCCTCCTGGGTCGGAGGCTGTGGTCTCTGCAAAGGGCCCAGGGGATGGGGACAACTCCGCCTGCCAACCACCGGCATGTGAATGAACCCATCCAGGACCACCCAGCACCAGCTGATCCCCGGGCAGGCTGCAGCCATGTGAATGAGCCCGGATGAGATCAAAGGATCGGCCCAGCTGATCAGATCACCGGTGGCGGACCCACCAAACTGTGTGCTAATAAAGGGAGGTCGTCTTAAGTCACTAAAGCTGGGGTGGTTTGTTACACAGCCAACGATTTGCAGATGAATGCACAAAGACCTCATAAGAAAAGCCGAAATGGTTCCTGCGTCCTCTGCACCCGTTACAGGCTGAATACACCCATGACTTCATTCCTGGAGGGAAGCAGGGCGGTAGGGTGGAGAGGCAGCCCCGAGGTTCAGCTTCCCCACCTCCGGTGTGCGGTAACAATGCCGTCACCCGCGTTCGTTCCCTCCCGCTCCCGTTCCCGCCGCACAGTTCCACCTGGAATGACCACTAGTTTCTCTGTCGTGATGCTTTGGCATCTAGGCCCTCGACGGCCCTAAAGGGGCTGCCCCTCCCCAGGGCGGCCAGTTCCTAGAGACAGTAAGTGACCTGCCAGTGAGTATACCTTCTGTATGCAAAGCAACTAATCCAGAGCCCAAACCATAACCCCTCCCTCTGTGAGGCCCGCACCCTCTGGGCTCTATCCCCTTCCCCTGATCACCCAGGGCCAGGCCCTACACCCCAGAACCCACGCAAATCATTCAAACTAGCCAATCCTCAGTCTTCCCCCGCCTTGCCACGCCTCCCCAAGAAACCACAATAACGGTTCTTGTCCGCGTTCTTTCCGTGCTCCCTCTGCCTCTTGCCCGACCCCGGGGCTCCCCTGTGTGGTGCTGCCCGCCCCCCGCCCCCCACCGCCCCGTGCAGGTCTTATCAGACCTGATTAAAACAAATCCTGCGGATCCTTAAAAGCATCACCCCTGTATCCCAAGGCAGTATCCTTGGGATCATCGACAACACTCATGCCTTGAAAGTCACTTTTTCTGCTTTTTGCTGCATGAAGCACTTTGGAAACTTGACCTGCGGCAGATGCTTTCCCCTCTGATGGAACAAGCAAGCCTCATCTCTAGGGGCTGCCCGATGCCCTTTGGTACAATCACGGGAAACACAGGTGTCGGTCCTACGTGACTACCAGATCAGCATCACATCTGTGTTCAGGTGCCACCAACAGCGGATGTGTCCCTGCCACACATACAGCCTCCTGTTCACCCCGTTTTATCCTTCATTCTTGTCTTCCCCACCCCGACCCCCAATGTCTCACTCTGGCTTCCGACTCCCCACCTGCCAGTTTGGACGGCAAGTCCGTACATGGCTCTCTGGCTCTGACCCTCGGCGCGGTCTCGGGCACAGGCCGCAGATGCCACAACCCCACAGCTGGGGCACCAGATTCTCAGCCTCCCAGCCCTGCTAGATCAGCCCATCCAACAGGCGCCAGACAGCAGGTGTCCAGCTGCTCCCAGCAACGGGGTCTCCGCAGCCAGGGACAGGTCTCCAGTAAGCGAGAGGGCTCATCTCAGCCTCCCAGGGTATCAACCCCCGACTTCCACTGGACAGTAATGGGAAAGGGCACTGCAAGGCAGGATTCCGGCCACCCAGAGGTCAGGGGACGGTACTCACCATCACTGGCACTGAGGTACTCAGGGTTTGAAGAAGCATACAGCGGCCCCAGTGGGCCATCCGGCTGCCTGGAAGGGAAAAAGGAAGACATTCCAGCTTGGTATTCTGACGAGGCCCTGGGTCACTCGCAAGGGGGTTACGAGCTCCCCAGTGCAAACGGCAACCCTTACCAGCAGCATCAGTGTAATTATCCTGGATGCAGTCTGGGGTTATGAACGGAAGCCCATCAGATGGCTGCTGAAGTGCATCAACATGGAACCATCAGCTGTAACTCATGGGCGTCCACGGGACACCCAAGAGCCACTCACCCCTCGCTGTTCTCATCCCAGCTCACGAGAAACAAGTGTTACATTTTCAGGAAATTTGAGAGCAGGTTGTTAATACAGCCATCATTTAAAGTTACAGGGCACAGGTTTACAATGAAATAAAACGATATCAAAAGCAAACTCACCATTTCCTCATTATCTTACTATCATCCGTGACCGTCTGCAGCTTGAAATTGGCCACAGTAGGAATATTTACGTGATAGAAACAGGAATGATACAAACCAAGACTTGATCTATTGTTCTGTTGTTTGTGCAGGCTTAAGAAAGTGATGGCAAAAATGTTACCAACGCAGATTAAGCTTCAAAGTCTGTCAGCGCTGGGGCGCCTGGGTGGCTCAGTCGGTTGAGCATCTGACTTCAGCTCAGGTCGTGACCTCTCTCGGTTCGTGAGTTCAAGCTCCGTGTCAGGCTCTGTGCTGACAGCTCAGAACCAGAAGACTGCTTCGGATTCTGTGTCTCCCTCTCTCTCTCTCTGCCCCTCCCCAGCTCACTCTCTCTCTCTGTCTCTCTCAAAAATAAATGAACATTTAAAAATTAAAATTAAAAAAGTCTGTCATCTCCACAGTCATGATATTGCAAACAGAAAAAAAAAAACTTAAGAAAATGTTCCCCTGTATTTATGAATTATTACCTGATTGACTGAAGTCACTTGTTCATTGAACCCATACACCTTATTTCATTTTTACCTTACTCTTTTTTTTTTTATTTTATTTTTTTAACGTTTATTTGTTTTTGAGACAGAGACAGAACATGAACGGGGGAGGGTCAGAGAGAGGGAGACACAGAATCCGAAACAGGCTCCAGGCTCTGAGCTGTCAGCACAGAGCCCGACGCGGGGCTCAAACTCACGGACAGCGAGATCATGACCTGAGCCGAAGTCGGCCGCCTAGCCGACTGAGCCACCCAGGCGCCCCTACCTTACTCTTAAATGAAAACAAAATATCAACCAACATCCAGGTTGGAACTATACTCATTCATCACTTGCAACCATAGGTTGGCTATAGATACAAAGGTTCAGGGGGAAAAAATCAACCAAAACATTCGGTGAGAATCAACCAGCTAGAGGGAATTTATGGTAACAAGCAATGTATATTGTGTTATGATCACTGCCTGTAAATTGCATGCTATGCACAACCCTATGACAGTAAAATTTATAATAAACTTAGATACAGCTCTCTCTGTATGTAGGCACACTTTCTTTTCTGGAGAGCTAGTTTTTAACCATTTACCAGCACACCATTGTACCCACCTCTTTCTCAGGAATAGATAAATACTTCCAATCACAACACTGAAGAGAAAGACAAAGATGAGAGGCCCGATGATAATTTTTGCAATGTTCGATGGGACATCTACTGAAATAGAGTAAGAAAACATATGTTTCGCACCAAAATGTATTCACATCACAAATCACACCTATGCCTGTAATGGCGGGCCACACACACCTGCCCCCTCTCTTGTCCCCGAGCCTCTCTGCCGGTCTCCTGGGCCGTTCTTCTCCAGTCATCTTGAATCGCCAGTTGGCTCCATGGGGCTGGGCAGTGGGCTCAGAGGCCCTGACCTCCAGACCACTGCCCACTGCCTTCTCCCTCCCCCCCAGCCCAGGGCCAGCTTCACAGGCACGTAAGCCTGGCCATCACCCAAGTCCCCACACTTGGAAGGGCCCTGCTCCTTAACACTCTGCTGTCGCCATCTTGAAAGTCTTAATAATTTGTAAGCAAACGGTCTTGCGTTTTCATTTTACAGAAATGAAATTTTAATTTGCCCCACAAATTAAATAGCCTATTTTAATCCCAACAGCACCTCCGGCAGATGAAGATTTCACCAGGAAGTGCCCTGTGTGTGCTAGGGGGTCTTGCCCAAAATGTCCTTTTAAATCGACTGAAGAAACGTTCTGTTAAATTTGCACGTGAGGCCCAGTTGTCTGCAATTATAAACTCCCGAGCCGAGGAGGAAAATGGGTTCTAAGGAATCAGGGAGGGAACCGGGTCCCTGGGCTCTTCAACATCCACAGCGGTTTACTGAACACTTACTAAAAGTACCCGGCGCTATTTGAAGAGCTTTGCACCAGTGTTTTTATTTAATTGTCACATAAGCCAAAGTGGGAGGTGCCGTGACTGAGGCCAGTTAACAGACCGGGAAAAGAGGCTCAGAGACTGGAGGCGGGTCTTGCCCCAAATCCCAGAGCCGATCCACGGCGGGGCAGGGATTTCAACCCGGGCGATCTGAGTGAGTTCTTGACCACTACTCCACGCTGCCTTCGGCGGCCAGCGCTGCCCTGAGGCATCCTGTCTTCCTGTACTGTACCCCTCCCTGAATTGGCAGCGAACTGCCTCATCCCCCCTCCCACAGCTCCTGGCCACAGAAAGTCTCCATGAATATCTGGTGGCCGAACGGGCCATGAGAGATGGACACCTACTGGTCACATGCAGGTGAAGGTCTGCATGTCCCTCCTTCCTGTCCCTTTTTCCTTAGGAACAGGGGAGCTGGAGGCCACCAAGTGGCCAGGACTCACAGTGTCTCAGGACATAATGGGAGAGGCAGGCTGCACCCCGCCAACCCCACCTCTGCTTCCTGGACACCACGGTCGGGCTCACACTCCGATTCCAGTGGCCACGGGAACCAGGGTGAAGAAACGGAAATTTAAGAACTCTCGCTCTGAGTCACAGAAGGGCAAGGTCAGCCCCTGGGGGTGAGCGCCTCCTTAAAATCTGCACCTTGCTTGCTTGTTATAAAATAAAAAAATCACTCAGGGTGCCTGAGCGGCTCAGTCAGTTAAGTGTCCACCTCCTGATCTCAGCTCAGGCCATGATCTTAGGGTTCGTGAGTTCGAGCCCTGTGTCGGGCTCTGGGCTGATAGGGCAGAGCCTGCTTGGGATTCTGTCTTTCCTTCTCTCTGCCCCTCCCCCACTTGTGCATTCTCTATCTCTCTCTCTCAAAATAAGTAAACTAAGAAAGAAAGAAAGAAAGAAAGAAAAGGAAGGGAGGAAGGAAGGGAGGAAGGAAAGGAGGGAGAAAAAAATCCTTTTTAAGTAGTAATCTACTGTGTTAGTCATGTAACTCTCCAGACTTTTTGCTACCTCTAGTAACGCTGGGCTACCTTTCCTTGAACATGTATCTTTTTTGGACATCCCTGATAATTTCCTCAGGATAAATTTCTAGACCCAGAACTGTTGGCTCCGATAGAGCTTTAACAAAATATTTGATACGTATTAATAAAGAACATCTATGTGTCTGCTCTCAGACAACGCTAAGCACTATAATTAAAAAGCAGAGGAGGGTACTTGTTGTGCTGAGCACTGGGTGTTGTATGGAAATGATGAATCACTGAATTCTACCCCTGAAACCAATGTCGCACTGCATGTTAACTAAAATTGAAATTAAAAAAATATATATATTCATATTAAAATATATTTACATATTTATATTTATATATTTATAATATGTTTATATTAAAAAATATATATTTGTATTTTTAACAACCCAGAAACAAAAAGCCTTACCAATTTGATAAGTTAAAAATTACGTTTTGTTTTAATTTGCTCTTGGGGGGGGGCGTGGTTTTGAGGTTGGACTTTTTTCCTTATATCTTCTATCTTTTCTATTTCTTTTTAAATTGGCTATTTATGTTCTTTGCATATTCTTGTGTGTGTGTGTGTGTGTGTGTGTGTGTGTGTATTACTCATATACTATATGGATATTCATTTGATAGTAACTCTTTGTCAATGATGTTACCAATGTTTTTCCCACTTTGATATTTTCCTTGTAATTTTATGCATGGCATCCCTGGTTCTTTTTTTTTTTTAATTTTTTTTTTCAACGTTTATTTTTTTATTTTTGGGACAGAGAGAGACAGAGCATGAACGGGGGAGGGGCAGAGAGAGAGGGAGACACAGAATCGGAAACAGGCTCCAGGCTCTGAGCCATCAGCCCAGAGCCCGACGCGGGGCTCGAACTCACGGATCGCGAGATCGTGACCTGGCTGAAGTCGGACGCTTAACCGACTGCGCCACCCAGGCGCCCCAACATCCCTGGTTCTTAAGAGAGACACCCCAAATCCTTGAGCTGACCTGGGTAACAGGAAGTGTCTTTGTTATTGACGAGCCCCTGGGAACATACCTGAGCTTATGCTACGAGATGGGCTGACCCAGGACTGGGGTTGGTCACCAGCAGACCAAGCATGTGATCAGAAGGCTGGGACTTGAGCCAGCCTGACCTCCAGAGTACGGAGGGGCCGGGGAAGGACTTCTATCACACAACCAACGATGCGATTGGTACCGCCTGCGTAATGCAACTCTCAGCACCTTAGCTCAGAGGAGCTTCCTGGCTGTGAAGACAGCCACATGCCAGGAGGGTGATGCAACACGTCCTGATTCCAGGGGGAGGAGACACAGCTCAGTGTCCTGGACCCTCTCCTATGTGTCTCTTCATTTGCGTGGTCCTCACCTACAGCCTTTATAAGAACACCGTCCTTGTAAGATGGCACTTGCCTGAGTTCTGTGAGCTGATCCAGCAGATGATTGAATCTGGAGGGGGGGGGGAGGGCCATGGGAAGCTCTGAGTTCGTTGCCAGTTGGTCAGGGGCGTGGGGGGCTTGGAGAACCCCCAACTTGCATCTGGCTTTGGAAGGGAGGGCAGTCTTGCTGGGAACCCTGCTCCTAAGCCGGCAGGGTCTCTGTGAACTCTACCAGGCAGCATCAGATTCACCGTGTAGCCCTCCCAGCTGGGGTCAGGATGCTTCTCCCCGCCCTGACCCCGGCCAGAGCCTTCCCACTCTCCGAAGTCCACCATGCCTGGGGTGTGAGAATCCAGCCAGCCAAGCAGAAGGCTTGTCTCACTCCTCCCACCCAAGCTCCCGCTCCTCCTCGTCTAGAATCTCCCCTCCTTCCAAGTTATTTGTTTGTTCACTCATTCAAGTGTCTGGGCTCCTGCCATGCATCTCAGGATAACCTTCCTCTTTTGTTCCCACTTGTACATTCTTCCAGGTCTTGGTCAAGATGTCACCACCTCCAGGAAGCCTTCCCTGATCAGCTCAGCCTTCCCCACCCTCCCACCTTACTGTGCTCACCCAGGGGCAGCACTTACTGCCTGCATATCAAGAGCACATCTGAGACCAAGTAGGTGAGTTCCCCCATCCTCCCTTGGAGGACACAGCCCATCTAGAAACAAATACTGAGGGGCGCCTGGGTGGCTCAGTCGGTTAAGCATCCGACTGCAGCTCAGGTCATGATCTCATGGTTCATGGGTTTGAGCCCCGTGTCGGGCTCCACGCTGCCAGCTCGGAACCTGGAACCTGCTTCGGATTCTGTGTCTCCCTCTCTCTCTGCCCCTCCTCTGCTCACACTCTGTCTCTCTCTCTCAAAAGTAAATAAACATTAGAAACAAAAACTGAGACCCTAGTAACAGGAGCTAATGTGTTAATCAGACATGCCCTGTGCCAGCCACTTGGCATTCATAATGCCACTGAAACCTCCTTTTGTTTCCAGGGGGATCCTCTTATTATCCCACGGTCAGATGAGGAAGTGCAGGCTCAGAGAGGGCAAGCACCCTTCCCGGGTCACACAGTAGCAGCCGACAGACCCAGAGGTCAAGTCCAGGGCCGGCAGGTGTAGCCACTTCCCCGACCATCCTCTGAGACGTTCCCCAGAGCAGACCCAGCCAGAGTTGCCGTGCACACTTACAATAGTCTGTCACATAGAAATAAGTGGCTTCTGTCCAGGAGCCGTTGCCCGCCAGGGAGGTGGCCCGAACTCGCACACTGTAATTCCCTGGCGGCAGCCCTCGCAGCCTGCAGCCCCGCTCCAGAGCAAAGTGTCTACGGGAGACACAGAGGTGCAGCTCCTGGAAGACAGGGGAGGAGAGAGGGCAGGTGTGGGGGGTGACCATCCCCTGGCAGGAATGTCAGAAATGACACAGAGGAGGGGCGCCTGGGTGGCTCAGTCGGTTAAGGATCTCACGGTTCGTGAGTTCGAGCCCCGCGTCGGGCTCTGCACGGACAGCACAGAGCCTGCTTGGGATTCTGTCTCCCTCTGTCTCGGCCCCTCCCCTGCTCTCTCGCTCTCTCTCTCTCTCTCTGTCTCTCTCTTTCTCTCAAAATAAATAAAAATGAACTTAAAGAAAAAAAAGAGATGACACACAGGGAGTAAGGAACAATCACTGGGCAACACGCGTGAGCGACATTAGGAACCTCGGAATCTCAGCGCCCCAGTTCTTGGGATAAGGAAGCAGACACAGAAGCTATCGTTACCGATGACCCTTCCTGAGCCACAAGCCAAGCATTTGACCTGGATCGTGTCATTTCCTTCTTACCCCTCCAGGGCTTAGCCTCTTGTTACAGACAGGAAACAGAGGCTTCGGGGCAGAGGTCGGCAAGCTTCGGCTATAAAGGGCCAGACGGTCAATGTGTATGGCCTCAAGCGGCCACTCGCTGCGACCCACTCAACTCAGCAGCCAGGGACCGCTCCCACATCAGTTCGCGTCCGTCCACAGACACGCGTGGCTGCGTGCCCACGGAGCCTGGTGGACGCTGAACGCCGGACTCCACGTTAAGTGGACACGCGTCATGACGTTACTCTTCTCTCGAAGAATTGTTTTCCCCAACCATCTTAAGACGTGAAAGTGATTCTTTGATCTCGGGCTGTACAAACAGGCGTACAAAAATAGTGGGCCGACGCCTGGTTGAAGAGACAAAATGCTGTGGGGAGGGGGGGGGGGATCTCGTGGCTGGTAAGTGGCAGGACCAATCCTTCAATCCAGAACCATCCGGCTCCCAAACTCTACAAAACCACCGTGGGACGTTGTCACCAGGCCTCCAGAAAGTCCGAGAGGGCCGGGAAAGAAAACACCTACATCACCTAAATCGAATTTCAGGCTTTGCCCCACACCCCCTGGTCTCAGGACCAAACACATGCGTGGGCTTAATGCCTTAAGGACAAATTTTAAAGCTCCTCCCTTCCCAGGGTGCAGCCTTTTGATTTGATTTGATTTGATTTGATTCATTGTACCATTACTAAAAGAGTTGGGATCTACCCAAATCTCTGAAAACAGAGAGGAGGTAAGTAAAGCATACACACCCCAGTGATAACCACATAAACAGAGATCAACCTCGAGCTTACTGGGAGAGGCACGAGGCTCCCTGGGAAAATGAGACCATGAAACCTGCACGCATCGGGCCAAATATTAAAAACTTTCCAAAACAGCTCCAAGTTAATAGGGCATGCAGAGAGCTGGACTGGAAAGTTTTAGCGGGGAGACAAAGAAATGTAAAAACCCCCGGGCTTATCATGTGACAATAACAGCAAGAAAACAGATCGGGCCGGATCAGGCTGGCGGCAGGGGCGGGGGCTCTGGTCCAAAGGTTCTTCCAAGGAGGATGAGTCACCAAGTAGAAAGGGACAAATAAGCAAATATAGAAACCAAAGGTAGCTGCTATCCGGGACAAAGGGAAAATGCATCCTCCACGACCGGCCACGGACCCCAGGCACTGCAAGGGGTGTGCTGGAAGGAACCAGAAGCTTCAGGCAGCTGTCTCCACAGACACCAAGAAACAAAAACAAAAAGCGAGACAGGACACAAAAACCTGACAAAGAGCAAAGAAGCCAATGACGTAAAAGCCTGTGCGAACAAGAAGAAAAACTCAAAACTGAAAGATACTGACGCAAAGGAAGGAGCCCGCCACCATGAAAAATCCATGCTCCTCCCTGGCAGGGGTGGTCCTTGGGGCCAGGGTCTCCCGGGGCGGAGAGGGGACACGGTAAGAGGGTGAATGACTTGGATTCAAGGCCCAAGGAGACAGAGATTCAAGAATGATGCAGCTGGGGGTGATGTCAGCTATTCAACCAGCAAATACAAAAAAATCCCCCCAAAAACAAAAAAGAAAAAAGAATATGACCTCCCACCAAATGCCGGAGAGAATTTTGCAGGACTGGCAAAATCACACCGTAACAGTATAGATGGTGTTTAAAAAAAAAAAAAAGTTTTACATTATTTTCTCACTTGATTTTTTTTAAAACATTTATTTATTTTTGAGAGAGAGACAGAGCATGAGCAGGGGAGGGGCAGAGAGAGAGGCAGACGCAGAATCCGAAGGAGGCTCCAGGCTCCGAGGTGTCAGCACAGAGCCCGACGCGGGGCTCAAACTCACAAACCGCGAGATCATGACCTGAGCCGAAGTTGGACGCTTAACCCACTGAGCCACCCAGGCGCCCTGTATTTTCTCACTTTATTAAAGCAATGCAAGGTAAGAAGGGAAAATGTTGGAGATAATCCACCATCTTGTCTATGAAAAGGTTTTTGTATTTTTTTTAATGTTTATTTATTTTTGAGAGAGAGAGAGAGAGAGAGTGTGTGTATGAGCAGGAGAGGCGGGGGCAGAGAGAGAGGGAGACATAGAATCCGAAGCAGCCTCCAGGCTCTGAGCTGTCAGCACAGAGCCCAACGCGGGGCTCAAACCCACAAACTGTGAGATCACGACCTAAGCCAAAGTCAGACGCTTAACCCACTGAGCCACCCAGGCACCCCTAAAAAGGTTTTTTAAAAGATGGTTGTAATCTCTCAGTCTCTCTTATTTTTCCCCGTCCCTCTGTTCCCATAAAGGGCAAATGGGGCTAATTTGTCTGGGATTGGTGTGGGGCCATGTGGGGCAGAGGCTCTGGTGGGGATTCGCAGTGGGGATTCCTACAGGTGACCGCTGGGCTCCAGGAACAGGGGAGGCGGTCCGGCCACAAGAAGCTGGGAGAATTTAGGGTTAGGTCCAATGCCAACAGGGTAACCGACTGCCTCAGTTTACCCAGGACCAAGGGCTTCCTAGAATGTAGGTAAACTCCAGGCAAATGCGAAGAGTCAGAGCACCAAGAAGAAAATCAAGGAGGGACTGCGTTGCAGATATCTTGCTCACTGCACAGAATCCACATTCTCTTCCTTGCTGCCAGCAACGTCCCCAACTTCCTTAGGAAGCCGCACCTCCCTCTTGAGGGGCTCTTGTCTCCCACCCTCAACCCCACCCCGGTTCCAGGACTGACCCTAACTGCCTGCAGCTGCCCCAAGCGGAAGAGCCCCATGGGTTCGGGGAAGAACACAAAACTCAGGCCCAAATGAGCCATCCAAGAAAATGCAAATCGCGACCACAGTGAGATACCATTCACACGCACCAGCATGGCTCTTCTCCGAAAGATAGCCCAGAACAAGTGTTGGCCACCAATGTGGAGAAACTGGAACCCTCAGACACTACTGATGGGGACAGAAAATGGTGCAGCCCCTTTGGGAAAGAGTGGGCATTTCCTTTAAAAGTTAAATGCAGACACGGGGCGCCTGGGTGGCTCAGGCAGCTGAGCGTCTGACTCTGGCTCAGGTCACGATCTCACGGTTTGTGGGTTCGAGCCCCATGTCGGGCTCTGTGCAGACAGCTCAGAACCTGCAGCCTGCTTTGGATTCTGTCTCTCTCTCTCTCTCTCTCTCTCTCTCTCTCTCTCTGCCCCTTCCCCACTTGTTGTTCTGTCTGTCTCGCTCTCAAAAATAAACATAAAAAGGGGCGCCTGGGTGGCGCAGTCGGTTGAGCGTCTGACTTCAGCCAGGTCACGATCTCGCGGTCCGTGAGTTCGAGCCCCGCGTCGGGCTCTGGGCTGATGGCTCGGAGCCTGGAGCCTGTTTCCGATTCTGTGTCTCCCTCTCTCTCTCTGCCCCTCCCCCGTTCATGCTCTGTCTCTCTCTGTCCCAAAAATAAATAAACGTTGAAAAAAAAAATTAAAAAAAAAAAATAAATAAACATAAAAAAATGTTAAGTTAAATGCAGAGTTAGCACAGAACCCATCCCTTGAGATGCACCCAAGAGAACTGACACCATACGTCCACACAAAAACTTGCACATCAGTGTTCTGACCAACATTATTCACAATGGCCATATGGTGGAAACAACCCAAATGTCCATCTACAGATAAGTGAATAACGAAATGTGGTCCATCTATCTGAAACCAGTAACAAAAGGCCATATATGCTATGATTCATTTATAGGAAGTACCCAGAACAGGCAAATTCACAGAAACAGAAAGCAGAGAACAGGCTGGAGGGGAGGCAGGGAAGATTGGGGAGGGGGAGGAGGGGAGGGTCTTTTTAGGGTGATGAAAATACACTGAAATGGGTCATGATGATGGCTGTACAACTCTGTGAACTACTAAAAACCACCGAATTGTAGGGGACCCTGGTGGGCCCAGTCAGCAAAGTGTGAGACTCTTGATTTCGGGGTGTAAGTCGGAGCCCCATGCTGGGTGTAGATGTACAGATTACTTAAAAACCTAAAAAATCCTTTCAAAAACCCGCCATTGAGTTGTAGCTCTTAAACGGATGTATTTTACGGTATGCGACCGGAACACAGTAAAGCTGTTATAAAAAAAATTTTTGAAAAGGAAAAAAAAAGAAGAAAAAAAAAACAAAAACAAAAACAACCTTCATGCCCATGCCTGACGTTACGGCTCCCAAAACTAAAAACACTGTCTGGCCATTGAATTGGAGGGTGTGATGCTACGTGAAATAAGTCAGTTAGAAAAAGATAGAGATCGTATGTTTTCACTCATATGTAGAACTTGAGACACTTAACAGAAGACCATGGGGGAGGGGGAGGGGAAAAATCGTTCCAAACAGACAGAGAGGGAAGCAAACCGTAAGAGACTTTTATTTTTATTATTTTTTTTTCACTTGAACTGATACTTCTTTTCTTTTTTTTTTAATAATGTTTACCTATTTTATTATTTTTGAGAGACAGAGACAGAATGCGAGTGGGTTAGGGGCAGAGAGAGAGGGAGACGCAGAATCTGAAACAGGCTCCAGGCTCTGAGCCGTCAGCACAGAGCCCGACATGGGGCCCGAACTCAGGGACCGTGAGATCATGACCTGAGCCGAAGTCAGCCGCCCAACCGACTGAGCCACCCAGGCACCCCGTAAGAGACTTTTAAATATAAAGAACAAACTGAGGGTTGATGGGGAGGTGGGGGAGAGGGGAATGGGTGGTGGGCATTGAGGAGGGCACTTGTCGGGATGAGCACTGCGTGTTGTACGTAAGCGATGAACCACGGGAATCTACTCCCGAAACCAAGAGCACACGGTATGCACCCTGCATGTTAGCCAATTTGACAATAAATTAGATTTAAAAAATGATAATAAATTTTAACATTTCTCCATTAAAAAAAAAAAAAAAAAAGATGAAGGAAAGAAAATGACCTCTGACCTAAGTGGTTGTCCTCAACTGTAGACGGTTGACTCCAGAGCCCAACAGTCTGGATTTAAGTGCTGCACGTGTGACCCTGACCAACTCCACTGGCTGCTCCGCTGTCCACGCTCCTGGCCGTAAGCGGAGACACTAACGGATCCCACCTGGCCGGGTCACCGTGCAGTTTGAATGGATGATTGCAAAGGACTCAGCGCAACGTCTGGGACAGGGGAAGGGCTCAGTCAAAGCCAGGGAGGTGACGTGATTTCTCTGAAGACACACGGTAAAGGGGAGAACTGTCCCCGGTCAGAGGCAAGCCCCAGCCAGGGCATCTCCCAGCAGGAGCAGCCCCCGAGCCCTTCTGGGGACACAGATCTACCCCCACGGTATTACAGGCGTTTGACATGTCTGAAATGGGGATGCGTCTGAGAAGCTGCACCAACTTACAATGAGACCCGGCAGCATCTTTTTCTTTTTCAGCAGCCCACAAAAATAATGGGGTTACCCAATCCTGCCTCAGACGTGATAAACTATGATAAATGAGACACGCCTGTGTGTAAAGCGCTTAATATGTGCAGGACACGCAGCGAATCCTTGGCTACTTTTTTGATCTCCTGAGATTCCACATCTTGTGCGGTCACCCATCACCCTGCCCGGTGCCTGGGTGTAAACAAAAAGTTAGAGCCTGCTTGGGATTCTCTCTCTCTCTCTCTCTCTCTCTCACTCTCTCTCTCTCTCTCTCTCTCTCTCTCTCTCTCTCTCTCTCTCCCCCTTCCCCCATTTGTGCTATTTTTGTCGCTCTCAAAATAAATAAATAAACTTAAAAAAAAAAAAAGACAGGGGCGCCTGGGTGGCGCAGTCGGTTAAGCGTCCGACTTCAGCCAGGTCACGATCTCGCGGTCCGTGGGTTCGAGCCCCGCGTCAGGCTCTGGGCTGGTGGCTCGGAGCCTGGAGCCTGTTTCCGATTCTGTGTCTCCCTCTCTCTCTGCCCCTCCCCCGTTCATGCTCTGTCTCTCTCTGTCCCAAAAATAAAAACGTTTAAAAAAAAATTAAAAAAAAAAAAAAAAGACAAAAGGAGTACCAATGACAGCTCGGAAGCACATGTCCAAGCATCAAGGGTCTTACCTCATCACCATACCGTCGGTAACTCACTTCATACAGCACGATCAATCCATTGGGTTCTTTAGGCTCTTGCCACATCAAGTGAACCACGTTGTTCTCGAAGATTTCATGGGTCACAGGGCCAACAATGTCGTCTGCCTTGGCTGTAAGGAGCAGTGGTTAGAGGCAGGCACCTGACCTCTGGATCAAATCCCACCCCCACCGCCCCCAGCTGAGCAACCTCAAGCCACTCGCATAAGTTTCCCATGTTCCATTTGCCACGTGGGAGAAGGGACACTTCAAACTCACTTTGCAGGACCGTCCACATATCTATCTACCCATCTATCCGTCTATCTCATATCCCACTGGTTCTGCTTCTCTGGAGAACCCTGATTAATACAATACGCATATGCATTTCTTAATTTTACTTTATTTCCCTGATGGCTGTGTGCATTTGCTAGTTTCCATAGTGGCTACGTATGACTCGTGTAATCAAAAATAATAGTAAAAGCCGGGGCGCCTGGGTGAGTCAGTCAACCACCCGACTTTGGCTCAGGTCATGATCTCAGTTTCGTGAGTTCCAGCCCTACATCAGGCTCACTGCTGTTAGTGCAGAGCCCGCTTCAGATCCTCTGTTGGCCCCCCCCCCCCCCCGCACCTCCCCCACTCATGCTCTCTCAAAAATGAATAAATATGAAAAAATAATAATAATAAAGGCAAATACCGATGGGCCCTCAGGGCATTATGCTAAGTGAAATAAGCCAGGCAGAGAAACACAAATACTGTATGATCTCACGCATATGCGGAATCTAAAAAAAGAGAACTCACAGAGAACAGAGACCAGAATGGTGGTTACCAGGGGCTGGGGAGTAATGCAAAGATATTAGTCAAAAGGGACAAACTTCCAGCTTAGGAGATGAATTAAGTGGTAGAGACATAACGCATAGCATGGTGACTACAGTTAACAACACTCTAGTACCTACTCTGAAGCTGCTAAGAGAGTAGACCTTAAGTGTTCTCACTACGAAAGAAGAAATAGCAATCACGTATTGTGATGCAGACATCAGCTACCCCTCTGGTGGTAATCGTCCTGCCATACTTACGAGTATCAAATCAACACACAAGTACGCCTTCAACTTACACAATGTTGTATGTCAACTGTAGCTCAATAAAGCTGGGCACAAATACAAAATGATAGGGCTGCCTGGGTGACTCGGTTGGTTAAGCGTCTGACTTGGGCTCAGATCACAATCTCATGGTTCGTGAGTTCGAGCCCCACGTCGGGCTCTGGGCTGACAGCTCGGAGCCTGGAGCCTGCTTTGGATCCTGTGTCTCCTTCTCTCGCTGCCCCTCCCCTGCTCACGCTCTCTCTCTCTCTCTCTCTCACTTCAAAAAGAAATAAAACTATAAATAAGTAAATAAAAATAAAAATAAAAGGGGCGCCTGGGTGGCTCAGTCAGCTGAACGCCAGACTTCGGCTCAGGTCATGATCTCACAGTTCGTGGGTTCAAGCCCCGCGTCAGGCTCTGTGCTGACACCTCGGAGCCTGGAACCTGCTTCAGATTCTGTGTCTCCTCTCTGTCTGACCCTCCCCTGCTTGCACTCTGTCTTTCTCTCTCTCTCTCTCTCAAAAAGAAGTAAACACATAAAAAATTTTTAAAATAAGTAAACTAAGAAACGATGAAGGCAAATCCGCTCCAGCAGGCAGAGGGCTTCGGCCTGGGGCTCCGGGCACCACGATGCGCCCACCACCCACCTTCGGGCATGGTCCTGGCGCTGACGTAGGCAGCCACGCTGCACCTCTCCTCGGGGGCATCTTGGTTGCAAGCCTGCAGCTCGATGCGGTAGCCGGTGAAGTGACGCAGGCCGGAGATGACCAGCGACTCTTTGTTCACCACCTTCTCGAAGGGCTTGTGCTCTTCCGGGCTCGTGGGCACACTGCTGGAAGTGTTGGGGAAACCAGGCACCGTGGGCACGGCGGCCGTCACGTTCCCAGCGTCGGCGAGGGCCCTGCGCTTCCGCGACGGCCTGTCATGACAGCAGGACACACGCGGTCACACGATCCCCATGTTTAAAAAAAGAAAACCGTGGACGCTGGAGCATCAAAGGCTCAAAATCAAAGACCGCGGTGCAGCGGAGATGCGAGCGGGCACACAGATGAAATGCAGGTTGCCAGGAGTTACAACCCGGAGCGGCTGCCCTCGGGGTGAGGGGGGGAGCGGGGCGCCCCAGGACCACGAGCGGCAGCCCCACACCAACATTCCCCTTGCATGTGCTTGATTTCAGGTTTTCACTGTGCAGATGGCTCAGCCACCCAGGCTCAGTGTTAAGTATAAGATGCCCGAAGCATGTGAGAGTCTAGCTTTTCGGGAACCCTGTCACACAGCATGGACCCAACAGCTCCAACTATCGGCCAGCATCAGCAGTGTAAATGGGAAAAATGCATCTTCTAGATCTTATTTTCCATTTAGGGCGCCTGCATAATACAAGCGACTAATTTTTCATTCTTGGGTTAAAGAAAAAAAAATCTTACCACTCAAGTTGGTAAGGGGAACTCCAAAAAAAGCCCCCCAAAACAAAAAAAAAATGCAGTCGACACACGTTTTCCCATTTAAGAGGATATAAGAAATAAACGCAATTGCCTAAAAATTTATAAACACACACCAAACAAAAGCATAAAGAAAATTCAAATTATTCACCATCCCACCGTCCGCTGTTTCCTGTGGGCAATTTTTTTTTTTTCTGGAAATATTATGTGCAGGTATAAAGAAGACCGAGCTGGCTTTATGACCCTTTGTTCGCTTCTTGTATCGGACACATTCCTCAAATACCTTCCTTCGAACATAATGCCTTAAGTACTGAGCACAGAATTTATGATTTTTTCTTTTTCAACGTGAAGGTTTCCCCCTCCTTGCTACCCAAGTACTGCCTGCTCATGGCAGAAAACTTGGAACACTGGAAAATATTCAATTGGATGCGTGAGCCAGAATTTACTAACCGTCCTCCTATGTTACCTAATACAGACCTACCTCATGGTATTACATTTTGCATCACTGAGTTTCACAAGATACGGCTCTTTCAAAGATTGACGGGTTGGGGCGTCCCCGTATCAGGCGGGTGTACTGGCACCATTTTTTTGCCAACAGCGCTTCCTCACTTTGTGTCTCTGTGTCACCTTTGGGTGATTCTCATCATGGTATGTTTCAAAGGTTCTCAGTATTCTTCTATTTGTTACGGGGGATCGGTGATCAGTGCTTACTACTCGCGGAAAGCCCACATGATGGTTTGCGTCTTTTAGCAAGGTTTGTAAATGAAGGTGCGTCCGTTGTTTTGTCAGACATAACGCCCTTGCACATACCCAACAGACTACAGTGTGGTATAAACATAACATTTACATGCACGGAGAAACCAAAAAATTCACGTGACCTGCTTTACTGCGATATCCGTTTACCACGGGGGTCTGGAACCAAACCCGCAATGCCCCTGAGGCATGCCTGCGTAAGTGTCCCAGGTCTTTTTTTTCTTTTCTTTTTTTTTTGTTTTTGTTATTGTAAATATTGCTTCGATCGATCGTTGTCTGATTGTCTTATTAGATCCTAAAAGTAGACTCTTAGAAGAGAAATCACTAGGCTGTATCTGTTCATCCCTATGGCGAAACTGCTCTCCAGGAGCTTTGTATTGACCTGGGGTCTCCCCAGCAGCCCCTCAAAACTGCACCTCGGGACCACCACATCAATACTGAGGGTTACAGGGTTTCCTGGGGTTTCGTTTCGTTTCAGATTTTGAACCAAGAGACTCCATATTTTTTTTTCATATTCTGTTTTTACAGTCTAACTATTGCTAGTATACCTACTGGCTTTTTGTTTATTTACATTGTAACTTTCTTTCCCAAACTCTGCTCTAAGAGCGTCAGAGTTGATATTCTTGGGTTTTCAAGGAACACACTAGAAAAAGAGTCAGCAAACTCTTCCTGCAAACGCTAGAAAGTAAATATTTTGGATTTTGTAGGACACACGGTCCACATCTCTACTCAACTTTCAATGGCTTTCCAGCTATTGTGGCTTGGAAGCAGCCATAGACAAAATATAATCAGATGGGTGTGGCTGCATTCCAATGAAACTTCATTGACAAAAACGGGCAGCCAGCCTGCACAGCGTAGCTTATCTACCCCTGCCCTAGGCTATCCGCACACACAAGTGACCTTATTTCCCACAATCCATTCTTTACTATTCTAATTTCTATTTTGTATCTTATTGCATTGGCTGGATACCCAGGAAAATGTTAATTAGTAACGATGACAAAGAGCTTCCTTCTAACTATACCTGGGAGAGTTTCAGTACAATGTTACCTCGGCTGTTGGTTTCATCTAGATAATATTTACCTTGTAGCAGAAGCATTCCACTCCTACTTTTATGCGAGGCCTCTTCTTGTTTCCCTCAGTTAGAAATTTTTTTTAAATGTTTATTTATTTTTGAGAGAGACAGAGACAGAATGCAAGTGGGTTAGGGGCGGAGAGAGAGGGAGACACAGAATCGGAAGCAGGCTCCAGGCTCTGAGCTGTCAGCGCAGAGCCTGACGCGGGGCTCGAACCCACGAGCCGTGAGATCATGACCTGAGCCGAAGTCGGATGCTCAACCGACTGAGCCACCCAGGCGCCCCTCAGTTAGGAATTTTTAATTAATACTGTTGAATGAGATTATCATACGATTTTCCTCTTTGGACCTCTTGATGAATTATCCTATCTCCTGATCATAAACCATCATCACACTTCTGAGTTAAACAAAATTGTCAGCATGCTGTTTCAAATCAGGACATATGGCTCTAAAGTCTCACAGTAGCTGGTCCTGGGGTTTCTGTTAATGTAGCATCTTCATCTGCGTCTGCTAAGGGGTATCATGTGAGTTTCATAAAACACCTGGAAAGAGTTCCATAGATTGGTATGCTCTGAGAAGTTTCTATATTACAGCAAATAGCTGCTCTTTCAGAATTCCAAATAACTCACCTGTAAAACTCTCTGGGTCTAGGGCCTTTTTGTGACATAATTTTTTTAAGGTTTTGACTTGCAATTTTTAGTCATTTTCCAAGGTTATTAGAATATTTAATTTTTTCCACTTCTAGAATCAGATGAAATTAAAACCTCCCTCTTCACCAAAAGCTTCAAGTTGAAGAACGCAACACTGTCCAGGAAATTCAACATGAAAATCTTCCTTCGACCCTAGTTTTCTGTCTCCTGCCTTACTTCCAATTATTTGTGATTTTCATCCTTAGATTTACCAAGTTCAGCGATCTTGGTTTCCCCTCCCCTACAATTTGTATTTTCACCTTTTTAAGTTGTTTCTTAACTTCCAAAATCACTGAAGGCTACTAACTTGCATCGACGCCCAGTGTTGGCGATATTCTACGAGTTCAAGGTATGTGATACTCTGATTTCCACTCTTGTCCAAATGGACTTTAATGAAAGTCTCTCCACGTCTGCTTCTCCCAAAAGGTATCAAAGTGATTGACTTTCAATCACCAGGAAGTTCTCTGCTCAAATGCTTGAGGTCAATTTTTAATCTTTACCATAGTCAGAAAACGCGTGGTCAGAAAACGAACCCTCCTTGGGGGCGCACGTGTTATGATTTTCTGTTGGGTCAAAAGACCAGTGAAGTTCTTGGGTGAAAACCAAAGATAGACCCATGTCAGCAAGATTCAGAACACTTCCATCCAGGCGCAAACGGGTCAGCTGACCAGGACGCTGGTGCCTCGTGAGTAACTACTGAGAAATGGGTGTCTCAACAATGGGAACCAAGGAAGGTTCTCATCAAATGAGCTGAATGTATACACAGTGGTTCCCCTTTACCCGCAGTCTGGGCCCTCAGTGTCCACTGCCTACACACCCCACAGGCTCACACTGGCCCCCTGGTCACGGCTCAGGGACAAGTGCGCTCCTGGCGTTGTGAGCCCAGAGACCAGAGATGCCGCTCAACACCCCACCATGCCCAGGGCGGGCCCCACAATGGACAGCGATCTGGCCCTAAATGTGAGTACATCTGAGCTTGAGAAACCTGGGTCTGGACCAAAGCCTCAAATTTCTAGGCCTTTCTTTTCTATAGATGATATTCCAAGTGGCCACTAGAGGTCGGACCAGGGCCACGCACCCATGCCCGAAAATAAACAAGGGAACCCACTGTGAGGCAATGAAATCCCTCCACATGGCCCTGATCTGCCTTGCTAGCCTCCCCTCTGGTCTCCCCCTGCCCCCAAAGAGCCCGTGACTCATCCTGAGGCCCTGCCCTGCCCTGGCATCTCTCTGCCTGTCCTCAGTGGGGTTCTGTGATACGGCACACCTCTGCTCACGCCCGCAGTCCTGCACCTGTTACCCCAGATCAAAACGCTCTGTCTACACCGTAGATGTTGAGAAATTAACCTTTAGCAGGTGGATGCATGGAGGGGGATGTGTGGCATCTCAGAGGTACCCACAAATTACCCCCTCCCTCGCGTGTGTGTGTGTGTGTGTGTGTGTGTGTGTGTGTGTGTTGTTGGTTTTTTTTTTTTTTAAAGTAAACTCTGTGCCCAATGTGGGGTTTGAACTCCCGACCGGGAGATCAAGAGTCGCATGCTCTACGGCCTGAGCCAGCCAGGCGCCCCTTGGTTCTGTGTTTTAGTAAGAGTGTGTTAGTGAAGATTTTTTTTCCCGACATTCATGTCCAGATCCCATTTCGGGGTGAAGGCAGCTGACGTAAGGACTCATGAAGCCTCTAGTAAGGGCAGAGCAGACTGTCACATGCATCAAGCCACAGAAGCCCCTGGAGTCTCAAAGGCACACAGCATGCTTCCTGCCCTGTCTGGCCGGCTGGCCCTGCACCGAGAAGCTGCCAGTGGCCGCGCAGACATTCTGCAGGTGAGTCATACCTACTGTCCTCAGCACCAGGGCTTGAAAAGGATTTTCTGTGAAAACAAAACCAACCACTTTGAGGACAGACAGAACTCCTTCAGAGAGACCTCTTCCTTCCGACACTCTGGGAGCCACGCTTCCTCCGAGCAGACCAAGGGCGCCCTGCCCTTCGCCATGGACCACCCATCCCAACGCCCGAATCACATCTTCTCCAGCAGGTGCAGAGAACACAGAAAGGGGGGCGGGGGCAGGAATCAGAGAAAGTACCCGCCAGAGACCCGGCCAGCCGGGATCCCCCTCGGATGTCAAACTTGATCACATTTAAACATCACAGGTGACTCCGGCCGTTGGCTCGAGCCCAGCAGCGTTTAGTTTTTAACCAGTAAAAGAGTAGCTGCCTCAATGCCTGGGCTGTGCCATGAAGCGCTCTTTTGGACTCGGGGTCACCGAGGAAAAACACAAGAAAGAATTTTTTTTTTTTTTTAATGTCACACCTCGATGGTTCTGGGGACACATCTATTTGCGTGAGGAGCGACGGCAGGCATTTGAAAGGAGCCATTTTAGAGTCTTCCTTTATCCCAGTGTCAGCGTTTTGGGGTTTCGATCCACTTTGGAAATGGCCCTGTGCCTCAGATATTTCTGGGCACCCCATCTGCCGAGGTCTGTAAGGGGAGTGAGGGAGGACGTGGCTCACAGCCTACGGTCGCTCACTGGCTGCCTTAACCTGGGGCAGAGGACTCTCCAGCTGAGAAACCCAGGCTTTGGATCCAAAAAAGAGGAAGCGACTGGGGGCCCCTGGGTGGCTCTGTCGGTTGAGCATCCGACTTCCGCTCAGGTCATGATCTCACGGTGTGTGGGTTCAAGCCCCGCGTCGGACTCTGTGCTGACAACTCAGAACCTAGAACCTGCTTCCGATTCTGTGTGTGTCTCTCTCTCTGTCCCTCCCCCATTTGTGCTCTCTCTCTCTCTCAAAAATAAACAAAGTGACTGCAAAGAGTCACGAACCCGTGATGCACGCAGCACTGCTGGTGTTAGGGGGGTGGAGGCAGGGATACTGTTTGTCATCCCCTAGCACACGGGACGGCCCCACGGCAAAGGAGGGGGCTGGCTCCAAATACAGAGAGTGTCAAGGCTGAGAAGCCTGGGTGACTCACATGCTCTCGCCATCCTAGGAAATAGGAACCGTGATTATCTGCACTTGCCGGACAAGTAAGCCTGAGGCCTCAAAAGAAACGTGCCATGTACCTAAATGTCTCTGCAGACAGCTGACTAGCCTCGAGTCATTTTCGCTGCAAACCCTCTCACATCGGATGGGATGTCAATAAGTCCCTTCATTCACCGAAGGAAACCCAACCTTAAACAGGAGAAGCCTCCAGGTTTTGAAGATGCCGTAGAAATTTCCAGAAGGATGAGACAGCTGCATAGATGAACAAGGAGCACGGGCCCGGGGGGCCCTCCTCAGGGGTGTGCCTCAATAATCTAACGGAGCTCGTTTGAGAAGTCAGATGGCAGCCCACGGGTGGGACGAAGGGTTTGGGCCACGTCGGGGAGCAAATGCTGAGGGTTTTTTTGTTTTTGTTTTTTTTTAACTTTTCCCCGTTTGGGGTGATTATTCCTGAAAAGGCTTCTCCTGAATCTCCCCCTTTACCTGCCCACCCTCTGGGTGCCCACTTCATCTTGTTCCCCAGGGAATGACCCCCAACATCAAGCCAATGAAAAGTCCTGACCTGGGCACGAAAACCACATTGTGCAGGTAATCCTCGAACGTCTTCCTGAAAGAGGACTCCTCCAGCTCCTTCAGGATCTGAGAGTCGGTTTTGGGACACGAGCAGCATTCGCCAGCGGACTCCTCGTACTCACTCTGATTGTGCTTCTGGGAGCCCTCGGACTCGAACGGCGGGGACCAGGTCCGGGAAGGCAGCTTCAACCCTAGAGACGGGCAGAGCAGGTGGCCTGAGATCTCTCCCCGCCTGACCCCACAACACACACACAGCAAAGGGGGGGGTCTTCTCAGAGGGGCTGGGCACACGGGGCAGCTGTGCAGGTCCGTGTGTTCCAGAAACCGTGAGACACCATAATCCCATCGGGCTGGAGACCGTAAGGTAACTAGGCATGACCCTGCCTCATGGAACTTACGATCTAGTGCATGTGGATGGAGGGATCCACAATAAACTAATAAATACGTATGCCATGAGTCAGCCGGCAGGGTAAAAGGACACAGGATGCCTGGGGGTGCTGCTTTTCATGAGGTGGTCTCGGAGAAAGCGACCGCTGAGCAGTCCCAAACTACGTAAAGGAGTGAGCTATGCACATACCTTGGTGCAAGCAGTTCAGATGGTGCAGAAAGCAAGTGCAAAGGCCCTGTGGTAGGAATTTCCTTGGCATGCCGAAAGACAGCCCCCCCCACCTGCTTGCATGGTTTCTTTCTCTCTCTCAAAAATAAATAAAAGCATTTTTAAAAAATTAAAAAAAAAACACAGAAAAAGGAATCAGAAAAAAAAGAAAGAAAGAAAGAACACCAACTGCTGGAAGGTAGTGTCCTAAAAACACAAAGTTGCTTTTTTTTTAATTTTTTTGGAAATTTATTTATTTTCAAGAGAGAGAGAGAGAGAGAGCGCATGAGCAGGCAAGGGGCAAAAAGAGAGGGAGACACAGAATCCGAAGCAGGTTCCAGGCTCTGAGCTGTCAGCACCGCGCCCGACGCAGGGCTCGAACCCACGGACCGCGAGATCACGACTGGGACTGAAGTTGAATCCTTAACCTACTAAGTCACCCAGGCACCCCCAAAGTTGCTAAGTGCCACCCTGGCTGTGTCTTGACCCGAGTCCAGTCCCAGGGGTGCCTGCCATCCATCGTGTGGGCACAGCCACACTTCTGATGCAACCAGGCACATAAAAGCTACTTTCTCCAGGCACAATCCACGAAGGGCCCTGGGCTTCACCTATCCTGCAGCCAGCCCTGGTGCCTGCAGCCTCCCAGGAGCTCCTGAGCATTTTTCTTCTCCCCCTGAATGCGTCCTGGAGACAATGGGCTCCAAGTACCTTCCCGTGAATGCTGAGTATCCACTCGGAAGCCCAAGTATTTATACAGCTGTGAAAGCCTACAAGGGACTCTTAAAAATACTTGGGACGTGTATTAATAGACACGGACTAACCTGGCTGGCTTAACCATTAAAGGGACTGGTAATGGCATTATAAATGGAAGAGAAAGGTAGGATTTCCTGAGTGAGGGAGGCTGCTGAGAATTTTCTGGAGAGGAAAGGACCTTTCATGAGGTCAGACACAGCTCCTCACCCCCCGTTACCCTTTCTGGCACCCACGGCAGGGCACTTAGCGCCGCGTGGTTTTTCTCTGACTACGCAGTAAAAGTATGGGTGACGGGGCACCTAGGGACAGTCCCGTCCACAGAGACGGGAAGCAGATGGTGGGAGCCAGGGGCTGGGGGAGTCAGCGCTTCACGGGGACAGAGTTTGGGGAGAGGAGAGAGTTCTAGAGCTGGATGGTCACGATGGTCGCCCAACAGTGCGAATGGGCTTTAATGCCACGGACCTGGACTGTTAGAAATGGCTAAGATGGTCCATTTTATGTTATGTATACTTTACCATAATTTTTTAAAATGCAGTTGAGGGCGCCTGGGTGGCTCAGTCGGTTAAGCATCTGACTTGGGCTCAGGTCATGATCTTACGGTTTGCGGGTTCTACCCCCACGCTGGGTAGAGCTCGAGCCTCACTTCAGGCGACTCCCACTTCTCTCTCTCCGCCCCTCGCTCACTTGCGCCCTCCCCTCCCCCCCAAATAAAAACGCAGTCGATAACACTGCAGTGTATAACTAAAATCTGCTAGGGGAACAGAACTTAAATGTTCTCAGACACACAGACAAAAAAGATAAAAATAGGAGGTAATGGATGTATTAACTAACTACCTGGGAAAAATCCCTTTACAGCATGTCTGTGTATCAAAATCATCCCAATGGACACTTTCACTACCTTCTGATTTTACCTTTAAATATCTTACAACTCAAACATACCTCAATAAAGCCGAGTGGGAGGGAAAAACATAGCTGATACTAATAGGAAACCAGGACTGGTCACAGTTAGCAAGCTTACTTATTGTGTGTATTTTTTTAATTGTGGTAAAATACACATAACATAAAACTTACCATCTTGGTCATTTTTAAAAACGTACAGCTCAGGGGCATTAAGCACATTCACACTGTCATGCTCCCGCCCCCACCATCCACCACCAGAACCTTCCATCTTCCCCAAACTGAAACTCTGACCCCATGAAACAGGGATTTCCCCGTCCCCTCCCCCCTCCCCCTGGGGCCCACGATCTACTCTCTGTCTCCATGGATGGGACTCCTCTAGGGACCTCCAGTGAGTGGAATCATACAAAATCTGCTCCTTAGTAAGTTTATTTTTAATTACATAAACTTTGTGATCATTACAAATTAAGCCATTTTTTTAATGTTTATTTATTTTTGAGACAGAGAGAGAGAGAGAGAGAGAGAGAGACAGAGCATGAGTGGGGGAGGGGCAGAGAGAGAGGGAGACACAGAATCCAAAGCAGGCTCCGGGCTCCGAGCTGTCAGCACAGAGCCCGACACGGGGCTTGAACCCGTGAACCGTGAGATCACGACCTGGGCCGAAGTGCACGCTTAACTGGCTGAGCCACCCAGGGCCCCCAAGCCATGTTTAAATAGCCACATTGTTGGGGCGCCTGGGTGGCTCAGTCGGTTAAGCCTCCGACTTCGGCTCAGGTCACAATCTCGCGGTCCGTGAGTTCGAGCCCTGCGTCAGGCTCTGGGCTGACAGCTCGGAGCCTGGAGCCTGCTTCCGATTCTGTGTCTCCCTCTCTCTCTGCCCCTCCCCCGTTCATGCTCTGTCTCTCTCTGTCCCAAAAATAAATAAACGTTAAAAAAAAAACTTTTTTTTTTAAATAAATAGCCACATTGTAATGACAGATTTAGACTTCCAGAATAAAAGTGGTTACCCTTTAAAAAAAAAAAAAGAAAGAAAGAAAAAGCAAAGAGAGTATCAGGGGCCACTGCCGGTGGTGGTTCAAGCTGGTGGTTTCGGTTACTCGAATGCAGGGCCAAGAGCTCACAGCTAAGCCGAGGAATGTGCTTGCTCTCGAGTTATATAAAGCATGGAAGGAGATAAATCACGTTTGCAACCCTCAGCTCAGGCAGGGAATGAGGTCACAGGCATACATATAGCACATGATCTTAGAGCTGGGACAGCTCCCGGAGATCATCTGGCCTCCTGCCCCTTCTCCCAAAAAGGAGGCAGTCAGAAGCAAGCTCAGTGACTTGCCCAAAGCCCTACAGCCGGAGCGAGAGGTCCAGCCGAGAGCAGCCCGTGGGCTCAGGGCCTCGGCCAGGCCTCACCAGCGGTCCCTGAGCCTCTGCCCCCGAGGTCAATCACTGAGGAAATCACTAACTTAAAACAATCTAGAGAAAAATAAATACAGACAAACATAAAAACAAACTGACCAAAAAAAAAAAAAACCAAAAAAAACTAATGGGGGAAAATAATATCTATTTCTCCAGATATAGATGGAGATAGATATATATATATAGATATATATAGATATATAGATATAGATATAGATATAGATATAGATATAGATATAGATATAGATATAGATATAGATATAGATATATGGGGTTTTTTGCTTTGTTTTGTTTTTAAATCCAATTTTAATTAAAATTCTAAGCTAATTTGGGGCGCCTGGGTGGCTCAGTCAGTTAAGCATCCAACTTCTGCTCAGGTCATGATCTCGTGCTTCATGGGTTCAAGCCCCACATCGGGCTCTGTGCTGACAGCTCAGAGTCTGGATCCTGCTTCGGATTCTGCGTCTCCCTCTCTCTCTGCCCCCAACCCACTCACATTCTGTCTCTGTCTCTCTCAAAAATAAATAAACGTTAAAAAAAATTTTGCAAAAGTAAAATGCTAAGGGGGCGCCTGGGTAGTTCAGTCAGTTAAGCATCTGGCTTCGGCTCAGGTCATGATCTCTCAGTCTGTGGGTTCGAGCCCTGTGTCAGGCTCTTTGCTGACAGCTCAGAGCCCGGATCCTGCTAAGGATTCTGTGTCTCCCTCTCTTTCTGCCCTTCCCCTGTGCACGCTCTGTCTCTTCTCTCTCTCTCTCAAAAATAAGTAAAAACATTAAAAAAATTTTCTTTTAATTTTAAACTAATTTATACCAACTAGTTTGAAGCGCAAATAATTTCCTATTTTTCTACAAATGGATGAAGCCTATTAGGTAAACAAGATTATAGACTGAGGGGGGGGGAAATCATCACTAGTATAAATTTTTAATGGAAAGCACAGAAGAGAACAGATTGCCACTCCTTGCTGTCTCCAGTCCTTAAAACGTAAGGGTCTAAATTCAGGGGCTAGAACTCTTCCCTGACTTTGTCAAGAGCCTCTCCATTCCTAGCTCAGCGCAAAAACCCAGCGGGGTTAACACAGCCGCATCCCCACAGGGAAAAGGGGGGTGGGGAAGAGAAAATTCCAGAAGGAAATGGTGGCAAGGCATAAGAGCTATCTGGTTTTGACGTGAGTCTCCAGGGTGTCATCAGGTTGAGAAACGTGTGTGCACGTTCTTGTATGAGAGGCTGTGGAGTGTGTGAGCGTGCACACACACCCACACGTACCCTGGGAAAACCAGGATGTGGGGAGATGTTTCCCTCGAAGCGGGACAGAGCAGATCGTCCGCTCCCACACACCCCGCCCGCACTCACCTTTGAGGCAATAATCCAACTCATACAGCTCGCTGTCCTCCGCCTGCCTCTCCCAGAACACCAGGTAGTGCGTGATGTTGCCATTGGGGTCCGAGGGAGGCTTCCACTTCAGAATGATCTGAGAGGAGGAATTCGAAACCGAGATAGGATCCAGGGGGACGGAAGGGTCTGCAAAGGAGAAAGGAGACAGGTCCACCGTGAGCAGGAGGCGACTGGCTGTCGGGCGGGCACAAGGAGGACACACGTGTTGGAGAAGTCACGCGGATTTTCGCCGCAGTGATGACTGAACCTCAGAGGATGCTGGAGGCCTGTCGACGTTCACCCGGCAAGCACACTTGTCCACTCATACCACACATCACATTGCCATTCATTCATTTATGCAACAGGCATTTATGGGGCTCCAGCCGGGCTCCAAGCTCTGTCCTGGGCACTGGGAAGACGCTGGGATAAAGGAAGATAGCGGGAAGAGACAAATAAACTCACGTTTTTCTGGTTAACGTGTGCCCCAAATGGAACCCAGCCGTGGGGCAACCGTCAGCACTTGGATCCCCGTCGTCCTCATCACTGGAGTGGTGGCTCATCTAAGAGTCCCCCAAAATGCACTACCTTTGGGCCCCACAAAACCTACCCCTCAACAATGCAGGTGGCTGATCCCTCAGTGGGGGGTGGGCTGGGGGCAGGGGAGACTCGAGGCAGAGGAAGCTAGAAGTTTCCAGAAACTGTTAAGCCATTTGGTATCATTGGAGGACACAAGATGAGGGGCACCAGCCAAAAAGGCCGGGGCTGGCTCATGAAGTTTGGGCTGTGTCCCCTGGGACAGGGCTTCTCACCCCCAGTACTATGGACATTTGGGGCCACATAATTCTCTGTTGTTGCTGTGCAGGATGTAGGGAAAGCATCGCTGGCCTCCACCCACAGCCCCACGTCCTCTGTCACGACAACCAAAACTGTCTCCAGGCATCACCAAGCATCCCGGGGCGGCAGTGGGGGGCGGGGGGGGGGGCGAATCACCCTGGGCTGAGAACCCCCACAACAGGAGAAGGACTTGGGCTTTACGAAAATACAACTAAATCGCTAGGAAATACTCCAGCCCGCCCCACCTACCCCCCACCGCCCCAGAATGGAAGGGGAAGGGACACAGCGATGAAGTAAAAATGGCAAAACACTGTAATTGTCGAAGCTGGGAAATGGTTGATGGGGCTCATTTTTCTTCTACTTTGGTGAATATTTGAAAGTTTTCCATAATGGGAAGAATGTGTATACATATATATACACCCTTCAAGTGACTTGTTGCTACTGTCTTGTCTTTTGAAATTATAAACCCCGGCACCCGGCTCTTTTAAGAAGCCAATAAACACAGGGCGCCTGGGTGGCTCAGTCGGTTCAGTGTCCAACTCTTGGTTTCAGCTCAGGTCATGATCTCACAGGTGGTGAGTTCGAGCTCCGCATCAGACTCTTGGCCGTCAGCACAGATCACCTGTCCTCTCTCTCTCTCTCTCTCTCTCTCTGCCCCTCTCCTGCTCATTCTTTCTCTCTCTCTCTCAAAAATATGTGAATATCTAATAAATAAATTAATTAAACTTTTTAAAAAAGAAGCCCACTTCTTCCATCACCGTGTCAACCTGTTAAAGGCAAGATTTCCAACGCATATGACAACACTTACTGGTGGCATCGGTCTGGACATAGATGATGTCACTCTTGGCCCCATACGTGCGGCGCTCATCAGAAAAGGTGACCAAGGTCTTGACAAAGATGGCATACTGGGTCCAGGGCTTGAGACCCCGCATCAGCCACCCTGGGTGGTTCTGCGACTTGGGGTCATTGGACCTCAGAGGTGGGTCAATGTCCACCACCGTCCAGCTGTTGGAGCCACACGCGTCCTGCCCGTCGAACTCGGTCACATTCTGATAAGGGCTTTCAAGACAAAGCAGGACAAGACGGTTATCATTTCTTGACTATCGCTCTGAGCACGGAGAGACGCGGCGGGAACAGTGACGTCCTATAAGGTTGCGTCCTGTTCATCGACAATCTTATGCCACAAGGAAAAATGACTCAGGTCCCAAAGAGAAGGGAACACTTACTTCCCTTACAGCTCATTTTCCAATTAACAGTTGATGGCTTATTGATAAGACTGTAAGAGAGACTACTTCTCGGCACACGTTTTGACACATGATACATCTTCAGAGACGGAATCATGATTAATATGAATACGATCACCACTTCCTTTTCTCCCTTTAAAATTTCAGGACAGGGGCGCCTGGGTGGCTCAGTCAGTTAAGCAGCCGACTTCAGCTCAGGTCATGATCTCGCCGTCTGTGGGTTCGAGCCCCGCGTCGGGCTCTGTGCTGACCGCTCAGAGCCTGGAGCCTGTTTCGGATTCTGTGTCTCCCTCTCTCTCTGACCCTCCCCATTCATGCTCTGTCTCTCTCTGTCTCAAAAATAAATAAGTAAACTTTAAAAGAAAATAACATCTTAAAAAAAAAAATTTTTTTTTTCAGCACAGTCGTATACAGTGGACCCTTGAACAATACAGGCTAAACTGCATGGACCCACCTACATGCAGATTCTTTACAGCACAGGACTATAAATGCATTTTCTCTTCCTTATGATTTTCCTAATAGCATTTTCTTTTCTCTAGCTTACTTTATCGTGAGAATACAGTCTGTAATACATATACAAAATACGTCTTAATTGACGGTTTACGTTATCGGTAAGCCTACCATCTGGTCAATAGGAGGCTCTTACTAGTAGCTAAGCGTTTGGGGAGTCAAAAGGTACACATGGATTTTTGACTACATGGGTGGCAGGGAGGTCAGCACCCCTCACCCCGGCATTGTTCAAGGGTCAACTATGCTTAAAATGACCAGGTGTTGTTTAATGGGGACAGAGTTTCAGTTTGGGAAGACAAGAAATTTCTAGAAATTTCTAGACAGTTGCATAATACTGTGAATGGATTTAATGCCACTGAGCTGTATGTACACTTAGACATAATTAAGCGGTCAATTTTATATTATGTATGCTTTACCACAATTCTTTAAACGTTGGGGAAAATGCCAAAGAGATTTAAAAAATAAATTTTTAAACACCCATGGAGTAGACTGAGCAAATTCTGTTAAGGATATATCTTGGTGAGATGTACGTCTATGCGGCCAAATGGAATATTGCTGTAGGAAACTGGCCAATCTGGACCTTCAAATGAAACCTGTTTCAATTCCTGGTTTTGACAGATGGAGATGTTAGCAACTTCACACGCCATCAACTTGTGAGATGGTCTAAAGGAACCTATGATGGTTATTCCAGAAGGAGGAGAGAGATCGAGGAATCTCAGAGGGGAACATCTGAACACACACACCACCTGCACACCTCTTAACCTTTCAACTTACGCCTCTTTGTAGAAGAGCATGAAGCCAAGGAGGTCTCGGAAGTCAGGGGGCCAGTACGGCTCCCATTTCAGCAAGATCTTGTCGTAAGATGTCCGAATGTAAGAAAATTTAAGTAGTTCATTTTCACCTAGGAAAGTTTAAAAACAACAGCAGTATCAGTACTAAAAACTTGTTTCAGCCCAAAGCAGGTGATCCTACATTTCCAAGAGCGTCCATGAGGAAGGAGATGTCAACCCGCTGTTCCCTTGATGGGTCTCATTCCCATGTGCCTTCTCCCAGTGTTTAGAGGCAAGAACTGGTCGTGCAAGGTGACCCCTACCATCCCTACCACAAGCCAGCGACTTGGCCAGATGCTTAACTGAGTACCAGCATCAGCACCAAACTAAGGACAACCGGCCAATAGTTACTGGGAAAAGTGATTTTCAAGAGTAACATCTGTCCTGACGCAATTCTGTCACACATGTGGACCTGCAAGCCTTCCGTGTCCGAAGACATAACTCCAGGGCAAATGCACACATGCCACATAAGTTTAGAGAGCACGCAGATCTTGGAGAGACCGTGCCTTGGAAAGACTAATTCCCTCTGCCTGCGATGCAAGCCCTCCCGTAACCTCCACCCCAACCTTGCTCTCCTCACCCCACCCTGGATTCCCACATTCTGCCACAAGGAACCAACTGCATAGGTGGGTATTAGTGGAAACCTTGGCACTTCAATGCTCAGACATTCCTTCAAGAAAGAACCTGTCAGAGGACAGTAGTCACCTAACACTCTCCAGCTATAACAACTGCAGGGTCTGCTATAGCATTTGAGCCGAGGCCATATATAAGGAGGTATCATCATTCATTCATTCATTCATTCATTCATTCAATGCCTATGTGGCATCTTCCAGTATCAGGCACTGTATCTCTGCAGTCAAGAGAGAAGATACACCTGTCCTCACAAAGCCTATAACACACAGAGTTGTTCTAGCTCACTGGGGGGCAGTGGCACACCCCCTGGGGGCCACCGCCATGTTGAAGGGGGAGGGAAGCCATGCTATCTGGCCCACGGGCTGGAAGGACCAGGGCATCACCACTCACAAGACGCCTGGTCCCCATTGGTCTTCAGGGCAATGTCGTTCCGCTCCTGGCGCCCCTTGGTTCCTGAAACCTCCTCCATCTTGTGAATTTCCGACAAGCAGAGTTTGGGATTATAGTGGAAGAAGAGTTTCCCCTGAGTGATGGTGAGGTTGTGTTTGCTCCAGTCCCATAGCTGCCTCAGGTTCTGGTTGTCCAAGGCATAGAAAGAGTAGTTCCTATGGAAACACACACAAACCCAGTCATACATGGGTTTGTCACCTCCAACGCCAAGGCTGGGGGGCCATGGCTGGAGCTGATCGTGTTCGGTGCTACGTCCCCAGTCCTTAGCACTTGCCTGGCACGTGCCCGTTAAGTGTTAAATGAAGGGTGGGAGGAAGGGGAAGGTGAGGAAGTCTCCGTGGCCAGGAAGGTGTCTGTGCTCAGTCGTGTGGGGGAGGAGGGTAAGCGATGGGCTGAGATACGGTTTTGCAGAGGAGAAGAAAGGAAGACACAGCGGCACCTGAGGTGGACCCAGGGAAGAGAACCATAGCCTCTCTGGCCAACAGGTGACAGGCCACAAGACTACAGTGGGCCCAACCCTCTAGCACTCGGCATTCCAGAACACAACCAAGAACACCTAACCTTCCTCAGCAAAGGAAGGTTCTAGAACAGTTCACTAACTGGGTTAGATCTGTGCCTTAGAAGATCAGTGGGCCACCAGCACATGACAGATGGGAAAAGGGAAGCATCTGGACCTGTGCTGTCAAGACAGAAGTCGCTAGTCACATCTGGCTATTGAGCATCTGAAACGTGGCCATTCTGACTGTACCGGAAGCAAAAAACCCAGACTTTAAAGACTTCACGTGCAAAGAAAGGATGTAAAAAATCTTGTTTATCATTGTCCTGTATTGAGTCCACATCAAAATAACATTTCAGGGGCGCCTGGGTGGCGCAGTCGGTTAAGCGTCCGACTTCAGCCAGGTCACGATCTCGCGGTCCGTGAGTTCGAGCCCCGCGTCGGGCTCTGGGCTGATGGCTCGGAGCCTGGAGCCTGTTTCCGATTCTGTGTCTCCCTCTCTCTCTCTGCCCCTCCCCTGTTCATGCTCTGTCTCTCTCTGTCCCAAAAATAAATAAACGTTGAAAAAAAAAATTTTAAAAAATAAAAAAATAAAAAAATAACATTTCAGATGGAATGCGTTAAGTAAAATGCACTACTGGGGCTCCTGGGGGGCTCAGTCAGTTGGGCGTCCAACTTCAGCTCAGGTCATGATCTCACGGTTCATGGATTCAAACCCTGTGTCGGGCTCTGTGCTGACAGTTCAGAGCCTGAAGCCTGCTTCTGATTCCGTGCCTCCCTCTCTCTCTGTCCCTTGCCCACTCACATACTCTCTCTCTCTCTCTCTCAAAAATAAATAAACATTAAAAAAAAAAAGTAAAATGCACTACTAAAATTCACCTCACCTCTCTTAAAGTTTTCACACAGTGGCTACTAGAACATTTAAAGTCACACATGCGACTTGTATCATATATCTGCTGGACAGCACTGGTCTGATGCTAGGATGCCCAGCTAGGAAGTCATTGGTACAATCCAAATGAAAGGTCTGAGCCTCAGCAAAAAGGCAGTTTTATGGCAGAAACAGTTCAGTGATGGGGCGCCTGGGTGGCTCAGTCGGTTGAGCATTTGACTTCGGCTCAGGTCATGATCTCACAGTCTGTGAGTTTGAGCCCCGCGTC